TTTTCCTTTTGGGGATCTTTTCCCTTCTGCCATTCCCTGGGTCACGGTCATTTACACATTGCTCTTGAAGACGGGATTTTGGTTTTTGTCTGAGATTTTCTCCTGAAAAGGTGCATTTAACTCACTCAAGTGCACTGCAGCTCCTGAAATGTTTGGACTTACTCCTGATAACATTTTTCTTTTCTAACTCCTTTGTTTTCTCTTTTTTCTAACATTTGTTGGGTTGATTTCATCCTTTTTCCATTTCAGTTTTTTCTTCTAGTAGTTTACAAGTTATTTATTCTATTTCTGTTTTTATAGAGATTTCAGCAGCATTTTCACAGACACACTCATCTTACCCTAACAGGACTAGACTCATTCCAAACCTGCACAGTCCCCAACCAGACAAGAGCTTCAGCACACTCTCCTGGTTTCACAAACTCTCTAACTGCTTTGTTGATAATATCTATGATGTTTGGTTCCACACTGTTATTCATTCTCAAGCAATCAACACTCACTCAGATGTAACACGTTTTGCCAGTTCTTGGCTCGCCAGTTTCCTGTATTCCATCTCCTGGAGTAGTTTTGCTTCTTGCTAGAGCACATCAAGCAGTAATGTTTTCAAGAAGGAACTGTTTGCAGTGCCAGACAACCTGAGGCATCACATGTCTTCAGGAAGTGTTTTCATTCTTGCATTTGGCTGTGCATAGGATTCTGAGTGTGAATTCCATGGAAGTGGAATTATTCCCCCTCAGAATTTGAAAAAAATTGCTACATTGTCTTCCTGCTTCCCCTACTTGTTATGTTCTCTTGCAAGTAGTCTGTTTTTTGTCTACAAATACTTAGAATTTTTTTCTAAATAACGTGTCCACCCCGTGTCCAGGGGTGAAGCCCTTCACTCACCCAGCCCGGCCCCGGTGGCCTCCTGGGGCATTTTCGTTCTCAGCTCTGGGAAGTCTCTTCCTGCACCTTTGTTCCTCTTGGGCTCTGTATCTCTCCCCCTTTTTTAAACACCTTTACTGTGGTACAGTTCCTGTACAGTAAATTACACACATTTCAAATGTACAATTTGATGAATTTTGATAGCTGTATATGAAGCCACTACCACAATCAAGACAGCTAACATTCCCATTATTGCCCCAGAGGTGCAATTTTCGAATTCCCAATTTATCCCTTCCCACCCCCTTTACCCCCTGGTAGCCAAAAGTTTGTTCTCTGTCTGTGAGTCTGTTTCTGTTCTGTAGAGGTTCGTTTGTGTCCTTTTTTTTAGATTCCACATACGAGTGATATCATATGCTGTTTTCCTTTCCCTTTCTGGCTTACTTCTCTTAGAATGACAATCTCTAGGTCCATCCATGCTGCTGCAAATGGCAATAGTTCATTCTTTTTATGGCTGAGTAGTATTCCACTGTATAAATACGCCACGTCTTCTTTATCCATCATCTGTGACGGAACTGCCTCCCCACTCTTCTCTGTACCTGCCGTCCTTTGTGCCCCCTCAGCTTGGTCTCCCGGCTCACTGACTTCCCCTTCACTTATGCCCATCAGGCTATTCGGCTCACTTGTTCCCCTCAGCGGCCAGGTTTTAATTTCCCAGACACTACCTGACCTTTCTGAAGGTCCCACATTCTATCATGTCTACAGGTACTGATCACACCTGTTCTAAGTTCTTGTCCTGACCACAGTACCACCCCCCCCATTTTAACATCAGTTCTCTTGTTTACTGTGCAGGAACCATGCCACAATAAAGGTGTTTAAAGAAAAATGAGATGATACAGAGGACAAGGCTTCATTCTCTAGTCCAAGAGGAGACAGAACTCCAATGCTGTTTGTACCTGAGGTTCGCCCTCGCTGCCCAGCCCGCCCTGACGTGTGTGCAAGAGCAGGGTCTCCCCCAGACAGCCCCTCACGTCTGTGGGGGGGGCTCCCCCGCCCCGGGTGCCTGGGCTTCTAGGACCCAGCCTGTCGCTTCCCCCAGGCTCCCACACACTCCTCCCTGCTCCCTCAGCCACAGACGTCTGTGTCCTCTGCTTGGTATGTGCGGGGGGTGATGGGAGGGGGCTCCCACTGAGGAGTCCTGAACAAGCATCCTGCGGGGGCCCAGGGCCTCTGGTCCCTCTTGAGTTCTGCCGCCACTGCCCGCAGGCTCCCTCCTTCCGTGAGGCCCAGCCGCCTCCCAGCTTTACGATGTTCCGAACGGTCTCAGGTCACCTCCTGGAAAGGCACTGTTCCTCAGAGTGCTTGGGACTTGGGACCACGGGGCAGGGGCCTGCAGTGCGAGCCGCCCACTGCATAAGCCTCCATCTTTGTGTCTCCGGGTGTTCCATCCCAGCTCCGCACAGCAGCTGTGGACGGTTAGAAGGGCAGGGACTTGGGACCCAACACGGGCTCCATGTTCTCAGCTTCAATTTTCACAAAATGTAAAGGAGCTCACCTAACCTGACCCCATGGTCTCGTGGGATGAAGGACCACGTGATTCCGTGTCCTGCATCTGCTCAGGGAGTGTGGGCCCTTCCCCCAACTCCTTCCATGAACTCAGCAGGACTCCACCCCCACCCCCAGCAGGACTGGGGCTGGGTTCAGTTTGTGCTGAGAAGAGGGTGCGGCCAGGCAGCAGCCCTTGCTCGGGTCAGAGGTCAGGGCTCAGATGCCACCAGGAGGTCCCACGGATGTATGAACGGGCCTGGGTCACGGGGGTGGGGACTAACCCTCGGCTCGCCTGGGAGTGATAACAGAAGCCCAATCAGAGCGGCTGCCCGCCAACTCCAGCCCTGGGCCAGACCCCCGGCACCTCAGTACGAGGCCACGAAGTTCCCCTGAAGGAACTGTCAGCCGGGAAAACGCGTGTGAGGGCTCCTGTCTGCAGTTCGTGTGGGGCCCCGTCAAGCTGCGGCGACAGGAGGCGAAGCCGGGGCCGCCTCGGAAAACTGGGACTCATGAGTGCTCTCAGCGCCTGCGTCCACCCCAAGCCGGGCCCGCCTGGACCCCGGCTCCCTCCGGGTCTGCCCCTGGGGCCTGAACCACCCTCTCTGCTCTTTCAGGTACCGTGTGCTCAGCCCTCAGTAGCCGGGGACCCTTCTGTGCATGGCCCAGCCTCTGCCCACAGGAGTTTCAGAACCAGGATGTGGGGCAGGTCTGGTCCAGGTGTCCAGCTGTCCAGGTGGCAGGTCTGCTCTGGCTGGGAGGTGAGGGCTGCAGGAGGTGGGCCTCTGGCGCCATCCAGTGTCCCTCTGTGTGGACTGCAGCTCCTGCACCATGGCCAGGGTCACCTGCCACCTGTCCTTTCAGGAGCCGGACCTCGGCAGTGCTGTGTGGAGCCCAGAGCACGGCTGCTGGGCAAGATCCTGGCAGCACCACCCGGTGCGACCTCGGCCCATCGGGGAGGGGGGCGTGGCCATGAGAGCCGGTTACAAGGCAGCGTAGCGTCCAGGACGCGGTGACAGCTAAGGAAACTGCTGTTACTGGGGTTGTGACATTGGGACGGGTCCCTATCAGGGAAACTGCGACCCAGAAAAGTGAAGAAACCATCCTGGGTCTTTCTGCCCAAGCCCCCCCCAGCCCAGGATGTTCACAACATGTTCAAAGGCGTGTCTCCACTGTCAGCAGAGCTGGGGCACTTTGAGGCCGGCCAGCAAAGAAGTGCTGGACGCTCTCGCCTCTCCAGTCTGGGGGTTCCTTTTCTGCAGGTCACTACATGGTTCAGAGGCAAGCTTTGAGAAAACCCACCTTCATTTAGACGGGGTGGGTGGTTTTCTGCTTGACAGAAAGCACCATACAGCTCTGAGGTTCTGCCTGTGTCCCAGCCGTCCCACAGGAGACCAAGCACAGCCACCACCTCCACTCTCCGCCTCTGCTCTAAGTCCCGGTCCTGCTGCCCACTCCCTGGCGGCCCCAGGACCTCTGCACGGCCTTCTCCTCCACCCAGACCTCAGTCAATGCCACCCCGTGGGAGGGGCCCCCACCTGCTACCCTGCACCTCGACAGCAGCCCTTGTCATAATCACAGGGAGGGGTTCTGAGCGCTGTCTGGGGGGCCACATCCTGCAGGGTGACAGAGCATTGCGGCCCGTGCAATGATTTTTTCTTCCCTAATTAGGCAGTTGAGGTAGTGGCTGTCTCAGGGCAAGTGGTTCCAGCCGAGCAGAGAGCAAATGCAGAGGTAGCTTTGGAGTCCTAGACTGAACTTTAAGACCCAGGGCAGCAACCAGCTTGGAAGGACAGGCATCAGTGTCCCCAGGACTCGGAGCAGAGGCCTCGCCACAGCCTGGCCAGGAGCGGACCCGGGTCAGGCACCACCTGGGGTGGGAGTGGGCAGCAGGGGTCTGCAGAGGCGAGGAGGGCTCTGAGCTGGGCCTCCCACGCCCCGCCACCCCCCCCCCCACCGAGCCCGAGATGTCCCTGCATTTCGCAGAGGCCAGACGCGCAGGGAGGACACGGCTGCAGGAGAGCAGCAGGCTAGGGGGCCTCCCTGCCCACCCCCTGCAAGAAACCAGGCTTGGCTGAGAACCTGACTGGGGAGGTTTCTGTCAGCAGTGGCAGGAGCCCCTGACAGAAGTGAACGCAGACGGCCAAGTCCAGGGGAGGCTGAGGGTCTCAAAGGGCAGGGGCTGTGGCCCCCGGACAGTCCAGGGCCGAGGGGTCTAGACTGGACCAGGTGGGGGGCCACTGCTGCCTTCTAGAGGTGAGGGCAGAGTAAAGGAGTCCAGGAAGGTGACACTTCTCACGGTGTGTGTGACACACCCTCCTGCTCCTCATGCGAGCGGCACCCCAGGGTCTCCTCGGACATTGCCCTGCTCCACCGGGTGGCCTGGGGTCACGGGATGCAGCCCTGGTGCACACCTGCCCAGGACGGACCTGCCGCCTTCCTCAGCCTTCCTCCTGCCCGACCCCACCCCCGGCAGCCCAAGGGTGCCTGTCACAGAGGCTGAAGGCTGGCCAGGAGCCCAGAGACGGGACAACCAGGTACAGGTGCTGGGCAGCTGGGTGCCTGGGGGACCTCTGGTGAGGCTAGAGGCCACAGCCTCGGGCAGCACGCGAGCAGCATTTATTGTTCATGCCTGCAGCAGACATCCTGGCCTGCTGACCCTTCTGGGCCTTGGGTGGGCGGCGGCCCCAGCACAGAGCCTGGGGTGACCTGGGACTCGCATGGAGTTCCCTGTGGGACACCGCACTGCACTGGGTGGGCGGGCGGCAGGGCTGGGGCTGACAAGGTGACCTCTCGTCCCCACAGGCTCCTGTGTCGCCCAGCCTCGCAGGCCAGGTGCAGCTCAGCCATCGGGGACCCCTCGCTGACGGCTCAAGCAGGGAGGAGGGGGACTTCCCTGAGGGAGGGGGAGGATGGCCGCCCCCCGAACAACGCCCTGGCTCCTCCCCAGTCTGGAGTCCGCGGTGGCGGCAGCCTGCCCGGGCCTGAGGTCGGCCTGCACTGCCGGGCCGCACGAGTCCCATCCAGGGCCCTGGGCTGGCCCTGCCCCGAGATCAGTTTAAGGCCTGGTGGGGCTGGAGACTGGGAGACATGCAGTGGGCGCTGAGGCTCAGGCCAGGGGCCGGGGCTCCGAGTGGGAGCTCAGCGGGGCCGCTTGCTGTCCAGAATGGCCTTCCAGTCGTCCGCCCACGAGTGTAGCCTGCGGCTGGGGGGCTGCAGCTGCGTGTGCCGGTTGTGACAGGCTGTGAAGACCACGTGCTCCCAGCTGGGGTTCGGCTCGGCCCCTGGGGTGGGAAAGCAGCCCCTCAGTCCAGTGTCAGGAGCCTCAGAGTGGCCTCGGGACCAAGCCTGCGTGTCCTCAGGCTGGCAGCTCGGGTCTCTGAGACCCAGTCTCCCTGCCAGCGAGGCAGCGATGGCACTAACCCTGCCGCTCGGAGTTAAACGAGGGCCCCCCCCCAGCCCCTGGACCACAGGGTTATCTCCGCCGCCACTGTGGGGGGCTGGCCCTCACGGACACCCTCTCCTCTCTCCCCTGTGCCCAGCCCTCCCGCACTGCCCGGCTCCAGCTCCAAGCTCACCAGCTTCAACCATGGGCCCCACAAGCCCCGCAGGCTTCAATCCCTCGTGTCCACATGTCTGCACCGGCACTGACCCTCAGGTCACAGCCTCATCCCTGCTCCCCATGGTCACAACCAACACTGTGCCCTGACTCGCCTTGGGAAACCTCACAGTCTGGGACATCAGGGGTGGGCACCCCTGTGCATTCTACCGTCTGGACACTGACCAACGTAGAGACGGGCATGTTTTCCAATGAGCTCCAAAGTCATTAGGGAAGAAACAGTCCATGCTTTCCCACTGTGTCCAAAAGAACAGGATTTATCCCCGAACTACTGGTGGCTTCCAGCAGGAGAGAGCCTGCCAGAGTACGCAGGAGATAAAGAAACTGATTTCTGACTGATGTGTGAACGCCTAGATTCAGCCGTGCCTGAAGCCCTCATACCCCAACTTTTCAGTTAGGTGAACCAATAAATTTCCCCTCTCCTTTTTAAGCCACTTCAAGGTTGGTTTTTTTTGGAAGAGGGCCACCCATAAGCAAAACAGACAAATCACCTGAATCACCTTCAACTGGAGAGACTGGCTTTGCTTTTACGTTTTACATATTAGATTCAGTCCAAATTACTTTTGGGGAAAAAGGGGGTCTGTTACTAAAAAAGCAAATGTTTGGAAGCCAGAGTCCAGCCCTCATTTTACATAGGAAAGCAAGGCTTCGAGGTGTAAGACTCCCCAAG